ACATTATGCTTAATTCTTTGCTTCATTTAATCAAAGCATTTGGCTGTTTTGTTTTTGTCACTGATTTTATGGTCAGGAAAGATTAAATGATTTTTTCTTAAAGAACACTAAAGCTACCATATTTTCACAAAGTTCATAGCAATGACTTCAGCAACAAGTGCTTAGAGCTATTGTATAAAGAAGATGGGAGATGCTATTTGAGGTTTCCCAAGCCCGTGTTGTGGGAGAGGGGCACCGTCAGCCATGAAGACAGGATGGGCCTCCAAGGCGGAGGAATCTTGGAAAGGCCAGTGTTCAGAGACTCATTAATGCAGAGTGTCCTTCACCTTGACTGCACTCAGCTTAAACCTCAAGCCCCCACACAGTAGAATTTCTTGAGGTATTGACAAGATGGAAGTAGACAGTAGAAAAATCACAAAGGGGTCAGTTTCCCATAGAGCAGAGAGGTTAATAGAGCCAAGCCCCTTTTGACTTCTGAAATAAACATGACAAGGATGCTGGAGGAAACTGAATGAATCCATGTTATTTTTTCCTGAGTTAATTAAATGAATATGAGGCTAGACCTCCTCTTCTGGGAAGATGAAACAAATGCATTTATCTGTTTTCCTCCCAACAAGGACACCTAAAAAAAATATATATATATATATATGTAATGTTATATATATAGATGCATAGAGATGGAGAGAAGGAGGCAGACCGCCTAAGGGTAACCTTAGAACTAAAGACAGACCAGGAAAAGGTCAGCCTAGAGGACAGAAAACTTAGACAATAACTTCTCTTCTCCAAACACCATAGAAAAAACTGTGGCTTCACCCTCAGTAAAGGTCAAATGGAAGCCTCGACTTTCACACTCACACTGTCCACACTCACACTTGCCAGGTTGTAATGAAGTGCCACAACCCCCCACCGGAGTGGCGCTCAGGGACGGCTGAGAAGGGAGCAGGGCTTTTATATTCATCCTGCTAGGGGGTAATAAGTCTCTATCCCCCACATTGTCAGGGGACCCACATAGAGGGCCTGGGCATCTACCCACACCCTGCAATAATGAGATGCTCCCACCCCTCCTAACTGAGGTGCTGCAGAGATAGGACTTCCCCTACCTCTCACTCATGATCAAGTCACCCTCCTTGTGGTGTCCCTGAAGGGAGGCTATGTGAGGAGCAGAAACCAGACACTCCATAGAGGTGTCCAGGGAAGCCAGGTGGGGAGCAGGAACTCCCACCCTGTGCAGCAGTAATCAGAAGTTTCACATCTCTTAAGTGTCAATGGAGGCTGAATAGGAAACCTAGACTTTACCTTCACTGGGCAGGAACAAATTGGTGTCCCACCTTCTGCTGCTGTTGTGCTATCATATGAAACCAACTAAAACAGAAGGTTTAAATAAGATTCAGGATCTCAGTACATAATACGCAAAATGCACAAGTTTCAAATAAAAATCCTTCTTCATGTAAATAACTGCAAACATCTTAATTCAAAGGAAAAAAGTCAATAAATGCCAACACCAAGGTTGCAAAGAAGTTAGAATGATCTGACAAGGATTTTAAAGTAGCCATCTTCAACAACGACAACAAACTTTCAGTTATGAACATGTTTGAAACAATAGAGAGTATCAGTGAAGAAATAGAAAGTTTCAGCAAAGAAATGGATGTTATCAGGAAGAACCAAAATTTAGAACCGAAAAACACAGTAACTGAAATGAAAAACCCATTGGATGAGCCAAAGAGCACAATGGAAGGGACAGAAAAATGGATTAGTGGACTGAAATGTAGGATAATTCTAATTCTAATCTCAATAACAGAAAAGAAGAAAAAAAAGTTAACAGAGCCTCAGACATCTGTGAGATTATTACAAAAACCTAATATTCATGTCATCAGGGTCTTAGAAAAAAAAGGAGAAAAAAAGGGCTGAGAATGTACTCAAAGAAACAGTAGAGGAAACTTCCAATTTTAGCAAAAGACATACATTTGTGGATTCAAGAAGTTGATAAAATTTCAAATAGGATAAATCCAAAGAAATTCATACCAACACACATCAGAGTCAAATTTCTGAAAAATGAAAATAAAGGGATAATCATGAAAGCAGCTCTAGAGAAACGACACCGCATCTAGAGGGGAAAAACAGTTATTGGGATGACAACATATTTCTTATTATAAACCACGGATTGGCATTTTTCTAATATTAGGAAAGAAGCAAGCTGTATCATTGCAGACCCTGCAGGCATCAGAAGGTGAATAAGGGAGTAATACAAGAATCTTTGCACACATACATTTGCCCACTCAGTTGGCAAGGATGTGTAGAAATTGGAACCCTTGTGCATTGTTGTTGCAAATATACAATGGTGCAGGTGCTATGGAAAATAGTATGGTGGCTCCTCAAAAAATTAAAACTAGAATGATCATATGATTCAGCAATTCCACTTCTGGGTACACTCAGTAACTGAAAGTGAGGACTCAAGCAGATGTTTGTATACTCATGTTCACAGCAGCACTTATTTACAATAGCCAAAAGGCTGAAGCAAGTCAAGTGTTCATCTATGGATGAATGGATTAGCAAAATGTGGTCTAGCCACACAACGGAATGTTATTCAGTGATAAAAAGAAGGAAATTCTGTCATATGCTACAACATGGATGAACCTTGAAAGCATTAGGCTAAATGAACCAAGCCAGTCATAAAAGGACAAATACATAAAAGGACTTCACCTATGGGAGGTGCCTGGAGTACTCGAATTCATAGAGCCACAGAGTAGAATGGTGGTTGGCAGGGGCTGGAGGGAGGGGAGAATGGGGAGTTACTGTTTAATGGGAATGCACTTGCAGTTTGGAAAGATGAAAGTGCTCTGGGATAGCTGATGGTGATGGTTGCACAACAATGTGAATGTGCTTAATGCCACTGAACTGTACACTTAATCGTTAAAATAGTAAATTTCGTTATGTGCATTTTACCACACACACACAAATCTTAAAATGAAAAAAGTACTTGATTCAAAAAAACAAATAAGGTTCCCATAGTATTTGTTCATTCTTATATCTGGTTATATAAAGGTTGGATGCAGAACCTAGCTTGGAGCAGTACTCAGCATCTGTTTATTACATAAAGGCATAAAAACACGACATAACTAATAGATATCTGATCAAGGTGCAATTAATCTACAATCAAATTCCCAATCAGCATATGTATTTTTAATGTACAGTGTCAGCTTCATGCAGAACTTTCAGAGTCTCAGAAAGCTCTTGTCATCCATTCTACAGGAAATTCACACACTACCGAGCCAACTGTGATCCTCAAATAAGCTCCAAGTAAAACCTTCTACTGCTTTTCAGACTCCTTTTTCAATATGAAGCTATAACCGTCAACACAATCTAACATGTTCCTTGTCCTCTACAGATAAGGAAGAAGTTTGTAGACTATTGGCCCTCTTTCTGCTTTACTCTCCTTATTCCCTATATAACTGCTTTAGTCTCTGAAGTGATTCGACGCCCTTTTATTGTTAAGAACCACTGATACAAGTGCTGGACTGAGAAATAGTCTTAAGTATACAACGCAACAGTTTCCTATCCCCAAATCCTTTTCTAACACCTTTGGATTCTGAGAATTTTATTCACTCTTCAGTTTTGTCTACTTGAGTTGCCCCCTGCCCCATTTTCATTTGGATAAATAATAGTTTACAATGACATTTCAAATTACAGATACTTCTTCCAAAGGAGGTTACACTCCAAAGGAGGTAACACTTTTTTTTCCCAAAAAAAGCATCACAATTTTTAGCATTTTTGAAGCATTCACAACATGAAATAGTTAATAGCATATCTCCCAGTATCTCATCCTCACTCCCTTCTCTGAGAAAAGTCAAGTACAAATGCACTCCATTCCGGGTACCTTAATTTCAATTATTGGAGCATTTCAGAGGAGAGCAATTGTGATTCTCAGAAGACTCAATATAAAGAGGTTTAAGATTATTTAAGTACTATGCATTACCATGAACACCAACATATAAAAGCAATTAGATCTCTAAGTATGTTCACTGCAAATGCAATTTTACTTTCTCAAGGATTTGGAGAGCTTTTAGGAAGGCTTTGTGAAAACTACACTCAAGAGATTGACCACCCCTTGTCCCCTGACACACACAGTATAGCAAAGGACAAATGATCTATGTGTTCTATACTCAAGGAAGCATATTTAGAGGGCCAGAGAACAAGAAGGGCTTTCAGAAATTCATGAAATTTTAGTTCCTGCCTTTGCCAGGATGGCATTCTGGGGTACGTGCGCCTCCACTCTCCCCTATTTCAGTTGCTGCAGACAAAACTAATTGATCCCATAGATGTGTTTTAGAATTCTACTTAACACCAGGGGAGGAAATTATGATAATTCCATTCACAGTGGTTCCTGAAGGCCATTCTTGACCTACTACAGGAGTTGCCACACCTTTTCTATAAAGTACAGAGAGCAAATATTTTAAGCTTTGCACAATACAAAAATAAATGACTGTGGCTATGTTCCCATGAAACTTTATTTGCACAATGAAATTTAAATGTCATGTAATTTTCTTGTATTACTCAATATTATTCTATTGAATTTTTCAACCATTTAAAAAAGTAAAAATCATTATTTGGTAGTAGGCTGTATAAAAACTAAAAAAAAAAAAAAACCTACTGGGTAGACTAGATTTGTCCCACAGGCTTATACATTGCCAACTCTCGTCCTAATATAGCTGTTTTATTTTGCGCACAAAGAAATTGGCACACAAAAAAACACTCACAAAACAGTTAAGTGACTTGTTTAAAATCACATGAATGATGTGTGGCAAAGCCTGTCATTTTGTGCCAAGCTGTCTTAAAGATGGTCCATATTGGCTGTTCATGAGTGTATTTCCTCTTAATAATAAGTACCAAGCAACATACTCTCCTTTAGTTTGAAAGAATGAACTTTCTCCTGTATCATTTTGAAATATATCTTTATTATTTAAAGACTCAATATAGTAGCATATGGACTACATATACTATGTGCTTGAATTTTTAACTTGAAATCATTTTTCAGTTTTACTATAAGTACACTCCTGTACTTTACAAGTGAACCAATCCCAATATTTGCAACCCATACATTTTAAAAGAAACACATAACTCAGAAATTAGGTGTAACATATTTAAAGAATAGATTTAGTCACTATTTAAAAAGTAAAATATAGGAGGCCTATTATAATTGAAACATTCCTCAGAAACATTCCAAAAGATGAAATAACAATCATGAAAATATATTCATTTTTACTTAAGACAAGGAAACATTTTGGAAAAAATTACTTTTTATTTATTCTTCAACATCAAAGGAGCACCCTTGACGGTAGAGGACACCCCTGTCCTTAAGAGTTTAGCATTTTCACGGATAAAATTGCGCCGACCAACTGGCTTGCTGTCAAACATCTCATTGGTACTGTCTATTTTGGCTTTTGCATTTACTGGTGGAATAGTAACTTGAGGTAACCCGTTGATATCATACAAGCGGTACATATCTGCTGTCTGGAAACAAAGAGAGGGAGAGATTTTATATGAAATATCCAGGGACTGAGAAAAATGTAGGAAAATGTTTACCAAATTAACACTTTCTGTCTTCTCTATATAAGGTATGGGAAAGGTACAAAACTGAAAGAGCACCGATAACAAATAGTTAACATGGAAAATAAATTCTGGAAAGAATTTGGATTTATGAATTAAGAACCACTCACTAAAAAGTCTCTCAGTTACAAATCTGCCCTGTGGGTGAACTAAGCATCCATCTGATCTAAGGAGAAGCAAGTAATTTTGTTTGCATGAAACTGGTGCCCAGTATGAATTATAACTAATGGACACAAAACCTCGCAAGATGATTTATCCGTGAGAATTTGAGAGTGGCTATGGAACCAACTGGTAAAATATGTCAAACTTTTGATTTTAGATTTATGATTTAGATTATGTGGTATAAAACCATTAATAACGATCATAATCTAAATCCAAGTCAGTGCAATTTATACAGGGATTTATTTAAAAATCCTTCATTTTTTTCAGCACATATGCACAGGATGGCAATATTGAATTAAGTAGTCTAGCATTTTCTGCATGTTTATGTTCATACTTAAATCCCATTGCTCTTGCAGAATTTCCCATTGCTATCTCTGCTTATCCAGGCTTTCTTCCTCACAGTAAAATTTGTACTAGAATGTTCAGAAAACTCATTCAGGGTAAGTCCAGGTCAAGTGAATATTGCAGTAACATCAGGGTTTAATGCGTAGTGTGGTATCTATCAAAGAATATTAAGTGCAGAAATTTCTTTCACATCTGGAGTGGCTCTGTTTTAACCATAACTGGTCTTTCTATCCAGGGCTCATAGTAATTATGTATTCAGAATCAGTGAGTCAAAAGATGAACAAACCAAGAACTATACTAGGACTGGGTTAAATAACATTTGACTTCATATAAAGATGTTCAATTTGAAAAACAAAGGTACATTTGGTAACTATTCATATGTCATTGTAAATATTTACATTACAAATGACCCACTTGATGAGTACAAATATACATGAGCTACATGAAGGGCCTTGCACCTATGCTCAACACTGGGCACTCTTTATTGGTTTCTATTCCTTCTTGGTCTTATATCCTAGCTTCCCTACATTTATTCCTTGAGATCACATAGCAAATATGCTACTTGGACTTCAATGCTTATTTCAGTTCTGCTTAAGGGGAAATACAAACCAAGATATACACACGCACACACACACATATATATATATATATATATTAGTATGTTTTTACCAGTGACCTGTGGCTTTGTTATGTGATTCTGGTTTCTTCAAGTTCATCAAATTGGAATGATAATGGTTTTAGGGAATATTTATAAAATGCCATTTCCCAGTTTCATGACAACGATCACTTTCTTTAAAAGCAATGCATTTACATACATATCACTTACGTATGGTTATGTCTCTAGTTATAACAGGTTCATCTTTATATAAATACTTTTGTATAAACATTACATGTTTTACTTTGGATAATTCTGATAGTTCTCACATCTTTATACTTAACTATTTAAGATTTATTATGCCCACCACAGAAAGTTGAGTGGACTATCTACTCTCTTTGAGTAGCACTGATTTTTGTAGGTTTGGCCAAGTTAACTTAAATCTCTCAAAGCTAGTGCTATATGCATTATTTAATAGTAGGGAAAAGATAGTTTTTAATCATTCTAAATGTGGCTTAATTTAAAGGGAACTTATAAAGCTTGCTAACATGGTTGTTAAAGTTTCTGTAGGCTAATATTTAACTCACTTATCTTAAAAATCCTGATTTTTATTTCCAAGTGAAGCACAATGAAGATCATGTTTCATATATAAGTATTAAATGACTTAGTACTTAAAATCAACAGTTTAAAAAAGTTGATTATGCAAATAATTTTTATATAATGAATTAAATTCATTAAAATTCTTCATATTTATCATGTGAGGGCATCATGGCAATATTAAGAGCAGGGTTTTAGAGTCAGACAGACAATGTTCGAATCACGATTTCAAAGTCATTGATTTGATACATGCAATAACTTTCATGGATCTCGAGGACATTATACTTAGCATAAAAAGCCAATTTCAAAAGGTTACATAGAGTTTGATTCCATTTATATAATAACCTGAAATTACAAAATCACAGAGATGATGAGAAGTTTAGTGGTTGCCAGGGGAAGAGAGGGAGTTGTGTTGGACACAAGTATAAAGGGTTCACATGACATAGTTCCTCTGTTGTGATGGAAGAGTTCTTTGTCTCAGTAGTGACTATAGTTATACACATCTATATATGGGTTCAAATTGCCTAGAATCACACACACACACACACACACACACACACACACACACACAAATGTGCATGAAAAATCCTGAAAATGGAATAAGGTCTCTAGCCTAGTTAACAGCATTCATTAACGTCGATTTCCTTCTTTTGACATTTTACTACAGCTATGTAAAATGTCATCATTGGGAGAAACTGGGAGAGGGAGTCACAGGAGTCCTTATGTACTATTTTTGCTACTTCTTGTAAGTTTATACATAATTTTTTAAGTTAAAAAATAAGATTTATGGGTCACTTGGAAATTCAAACACTAAATTAATATTTGATAAGTGCTAGTATTAAGGAATTCTTATTAATTTTTACATGTTATAATGGTATAATGGCTATCATTTTTGTCTTTTAGAGACTAATAGGAAACATTTGCAGATAAGAGGATGTCTGGGGTTTTCTTCAAAGTAATATGGGAGATGGGGACGGGGGTGGGAATATACTTGGGGCAGGATTGGCCATGAGTTAATAAGTGTTCATACTATATGATGAGTTGTTGTAGATTAGTTATTCTATTTCTACACATATATGGGATTTTGTATAATAAAGGTAGAATTAACAAAATAGTGATTTCTTAAGCATGTTTCAATCTCAATTTTCCCCACATAAGCTTTGTCAAACTGTACCACTTCAGACTAAATGAAAACATCATACGCTCATTTGATCCCATATGGCAACCTTAGTCTTTCACAGAAACCCTTTAGTTCTGCTGCCAGTGATTTAATTGTCAAATAACATAGGGAAAACAGGCACAGCTTTTGTTGATAAAGCCTCCTAAATAGTTAATTTGAGAAATGTCCACTGTATGCAAGATAAAATGAACACCATTTTAATTTAGAAATCTGTTTTTAAAGATGTCATGTAATCCCCTTGGAGTAAAAGTATGTCCTTATTTCTTAAGAAGCAAGCACCACAGCATGATTATTTAAACTCAAGTATCAATGTATCAAAGGGCTATGTGCACTGAGGCACCAGAGGCTTTTATTACCAGGGTTGTAAGAATCTCAGAAAGGTGGAAAATACAAATAATTCTCTCAAGCAATATTCAACATTATCCTTTTCTCTATTCATTACAATAGTAACAACACATTTTTCTGCTCATGGAACTGATTAGAGTCTGATTTAGAAGTCTAGTGTATACTTGGCATCAGTAGTTGTGTTTTGAAACATAACTACACATCCCTTGTGCCTGTGCTACTAGTGGCCATAGGCCTCTTTTCATAAATAATTTGAAAGCTGTCATCAGTCTAAAAGTTCTTAGTAAAATATAAGTGTGAAGTTTTGTGGAGACATTTTGTTTACTGGATAAATTTTCAAAATCGTATTTACCTTAACTTTTAATAAAATGATCACTTTAACAGACTTTTATATTAATGGCCCATTTTACATTGTAGTTTTTTCAATTAAAAATACATTTTATCATCTATTGAATTCTCTTCATTTTAGACTTTAACACTTGACAATATCATATGCCTTAAGCAAAGGTTCCAAAATCTGTATCTCAAATCACCTGAAGCCCTTGAATAGGTTATTACAGACAATAATATATTAATATATAAATCACTTTACAATCATTATTTATCTCTTCCACATTTCCTTAATATGGAAGGGAAATAATTTTTTACTTTCTATGGTGATGTAAGCTTTTTGTTATAGTCCATATTTAAACATTCTTTACTGGACAAAAGGAAATTAAAGCAAGGCAGAGCAGCTGAGATATGTTAACTTTTGCAAGATAATGTTGCAATTCTCTTCTGTGATCACTAAGTGAAACCTTTTCTCCCTAGTTCATTTAATGCCTTTAGGGACATCAAACATCCTTGACAATTGCCTTTATAGAACTCACCTGTATTACTAATGTTGCCTTGTACTTCCTACTGTACATTTTGGGTTTAAAACCCACAGTGATGAGAGTTCCTGGAGTGTCAAAAGGAAGAAGTTCTCCACCCTGAGGTTTTACAAAAAACTCAGGGTCGCTGCCAGATCGGAAGTATGCAGTGAATGGCTCAGGATTTCTGGAATGAAAATATTACATATCATCCTTTTAATTTTATCATTATCCCATTCTCTTTGAGATAACTTGATGGAGGGCATTTATATCCTGCGGTATAGAACTACATTTAAACATTAAGCTGCTATGCAGCTGTGTCTAATTAAGCCTTGTTACTTTGTGGAATGCTTATAGAATAATATCAAGGAGGTATTTAAAAAATTACTGGAGTGTTATTCTTCCCAGGGTGATAAAATAGAATCTTAAAGATTTTTTCAGTCACATATTTATAGTGAACAAAGAATAAAAGTAAGCACCTAAAACTGGAAGAACTCAATGTCCCAAAATGAAATTGCAATCACTTTCATATCTGAATATAACTGTAAATAAATTCATATCTGAAATGCATGACCACAACGGTTATCATATAACCTTTGTTTTCACTACCATTCATGTGGTATTTCTCAATCTCCTTCAGCTTTCTACTTGCTAAATGAGAGGGACGTACTTTATAGGTTCATTAAAAGTTCCTGGGCCTAAAGATGAGTTGCTATGATCTGAAGTGAACTGAGTGAAGTTTAAGATCCAAGTGAATATCTTCATGTCAAGATTGATTACATATGAGATGAAGACTGTGAAAGAAGTTGAGGTATTCCTTGGCAGAATAAAGCACGAGAAAGGCACAATAGATGGAAGGTTGTAAGTGAAGAATTTAAAATCCAAACTGACAGGAGATGGACATAAAAGGTAAAGAACAGTTTCCTAGACACAGAAGAGGAGTTGGGAGATTCAGTTTGGGACTCACTGATCCATTCGACCAATGTGTATTAAGTGTCATGACAGAGGGACTAAGAAAGTAGACTATGGATATGGATGGCTTGGACTGGAATTCTAGTTCTGGCACATGTATGTCTTGAGGCAATTTACTCAGCCTTTTTGTGTACTTCAGTTTTTATATGTGTTAAATGAAGTTAATAATTCCTATAACACCATTATATCAGAGCCTGACATGTGGAAAGTTACCTATAATGGGTAACCAATATTAATAAAATCATCATTATGATTTGTGTTGTTTTAAAACATCTTTTTATAAATGCCAAGCAATACTGCATGATGCAGCAAATAAGAGAGGTATAAAACAGAATACCCAGGGGAGTGATGTCAGCAAGATACCAGAATAGGAAGCCCCAGATCCTCTTCTCTTCCATGGAGACCCTGATTCAACAACAGTGTACATATTCCAATATTAGTTCCCACTGTGAGAAGTTTAGAAACAAGTTAAGAGGCTTCTGCCCTCCAGGTGAGCACAAAATCAGCTCCTCTGAAGCCAGTAGGAATCTGTGTGGCATGCCCTCACCACAGTCTCTCCCCACTCAGCACAGCACCACATGACTGGGAGGAAACTCTCAGGTCTCACTTTCCCCTTGGGAAGGAAAGAGAAGAATGGACTAGACATTCCAGTTCCAGACTTTTGGGGATGAGGGACTACCCGAGGGACTGGTTTTGTTTTGCCTATTTTAAGTATTGATGGGACCTGACATACTCTAGATTCATGGAAGCTTCTGAGAACAAAAACATTTGGGCAGGGTTCTAGTGCTTTAGAGTTCCCACAGTAGAGCAAACAAACTCATACAGCTCAGAATCCTCTCCTTAAGTGTTAAAAAGGAAGACTGGAAAATGTGTCCAACTTTCTGACTTTTCAGGAAGGTTCTGGCTTCTGCCTAGCCGGCCTCAGGGAACTGACAGAATTTTGCAAACTCTAGATGCTTAGCAGCCACTGAGAAACAAAACAACACAAATGATCTGGGCTGTGTGCTGCTGCTTCAGACTACCCACAGTACAGAAGACAGACACCAGAAATAGCAAGAGATTATGAACTCCTGAGAAAAAGGAGAGCAGAAAACACCTCTAACTATAAATCTACATACATAAGCAAGATTTGAGAGGTTCCAGAATCACTAGTTAGGCTGATTGGTGAAGATCTTCTCCAGCATGAAGCCAGTAGATAAAGACTGGGAGAGGTGGTTATTTTTTCAGATGTGTGGATATCAACACAAAGTTACAAAGAACATGAATAAACAGGGAAAAATTACACAACTAAGGAAACAAAATAAATCTCCAGAAACATACCATAAAGAAAGCAAAGCATAGGATTACCTGAAAAATTGTTCAAAATAGCTGTCATAAAAATTCTCAGTGATATCAGGAGTACGATGCATGAGCAAAATGAGAATTTCAACAAAAAAAATAGAAAATATTTAAAACACCAAACAAATTTTGGAGCTGAAGAATACAATAACTAAACTAATAGCAGATTTGATCAAGCAGAAGTAATCATGGAGCCATATGACAAGTCATTTGATATTATCTTGTCAGAGGAACAAAAAGAAAAATAAATGAAAAAGAGTGTGGCAAATCTAAGGGACTTACACAGTACCACCAAGTGGACCAATATATGCATTATGAATCTCAGAAGGAGAAGACAGAAAACAGGGAAAGTTTATTTAAAGAAATAATGTCTGAAAACTTTTCAAACCTGGGGAAGGAACTAGAATATAAATTCATGAAGTGCACCAGATTCCAAGTAGGAAGAAACTACAGAAGTCCAAAATTAGACACATACTCAAAATATCAACAATTTAAGACAAAAAGAGAATTTTGAAAGAAGCAAAAGAAAAATGACATAACATACAAGGGAATCCTTGTAAGATAAGCATATTTATCAGCAGGAACTCTGTAGGCCTGAAGTGAATGGGATGATACATTCAAAGTACTAAAAACAAACCGTCAAGCAAAAATACTGTATCTAGCAAAACTGTCCTTCAAATATGAAGAAGATAAAAACTTTCCCTGATAAAAGCTGAGGGAGTTAATCACCATTAAAACTGCCTTATAAGACATGCTAAATGGAGTCCTTCAAGTTGAAATGAAATGATGCTAAACAACAACACAAAAGCATTTGAAAGTATCAAAGCTCACTGGTAAAGGTAAATATATAGAAAAGTACACAAAACTGAATACTGTAACACTGGTACATAAATCACTTCAGTATGGCATAAAAGTTAAAATATGAAAGTATTAAAATAACTATAATTACAAAATATATTAATGGATACACAATATAAAAATATGTACATCACTAACAAAGTGTGGAGATTTTGTATGCAACTGAAGTGAAGTTATTACCAGCTTAAAAAAGATTGTTAAACTAATAAGATGTTTTATGTGAACCCCATGGTAACTACAAACACTTAAAGATATACCTAAAAGAAAATGAGAAAGGAATCCAAGCATGCCACTATGAAAAAATCAACACAACACAAGGATAGCAAGAGAGGAAAAGGTGGATAAAGGAGCTACAAGACATACACAATACAACCAAAGGGCAATAGTAAGTCCTTCCCCATAAATAATTACTTTAAATATAAATTGATTAAAATCCTCAATCAAGACACAGTAGTTGATCGGATAAAAAGTAAGATCCAAGTGTATGTTGTCTATAAGATACTAATTTCAGATTTAAATATATACTTAGGCTGAAAGTTAAGGGAGGGAAAGACATATTCCATGCAAATGGTAAACAAAAGAGAGCATGGATGGCCCGATTTATATTAGACAAAATAGACTTAATAAAAAAAACTCACAGGAGACAAAGACCGACATTATATGATATATATTATGTTTATATATACAACCAACATCACAGCACCTAAATATATGTACCAAATATTGACAGAAATGAAAGGAGAAATAGCAACAGAAAAATATATTTCAATAACCCCACTTTCATTAATGGATAGAAAACTCAGGCAGAAGATTAATAAGAAAAAAGAAGACTGGAAGGAGAAAAGATGGCAGCATGAGTAGTGTGGCAGAAATCTCACAAACCGCATATGTTTAGAAAATACAGCAAATACAACTATTCCTAAAAGAGTGACCAGAAGTAACAGTACAACAGCCAGTCTACATCTGGGAGAAGTCAAAATCTCATGGAAAAGGGTAAGGTAAAAAGCGATGACCCAGTGGGACCCAAGCAGCTCCCCCACCCCAGCTCACCTGCAAAAGGAAAAGAATCAGTGTAGGGAGGGAGTGGAAGCACAGGGCTGCTAAATACCCAGCTCTAGAAATCTATCCTGGGAGCACAGACACACATTGCATGGTGCTCTGGAGATTAGAGGGGCTGAAAAGCGAAGTCTGAGACTAAGACTGTGAACAGTTTTCCACAACCAGCTGCCCCAAGACAAAAGAAAAGCAGGTGCTTTAAGGGAACCTCTCAACAGTCAGAGGGCTGCTAAAGGGGCAAGGGTGTAGGAGAAGGAACAGGTGGATAAAATCATCCTGGCACACTCAGCCCAGCAGGCTGGGAACTTTGAGGAGCTTCATGCGCCCTATCTCCCTGGTTGCCAATGCAGTCCTGAGGCTCCACACCACAATAAACAACCTGCTGTACCTTCCTCCCTGCCTGCACTTATGTGCAAACTAGCTGTCTCCACCATTGCTGCAGACCAGCCAGAGGGCAGTCCTGTCTACAGCAACTACACAGCTTAATGCAGAGGCTTCTCCCTGAACATGGCTAACCAGCCCAGACCCAGAGGCTGCTCCCTGCACACAGTTGACCAGCACAGACAGGGGAGATGGGCGCTGAGGCTGGGAGCCAGGAAGGGGCTATGTTATTGCAACAGAACCTGTGCTGCTTGCCTGTGACCCCCGCCATCACCATAGGCCATTCTGAGTGCCACCCTGCTGACGGCAGTTTAGGTGACTAATCCAGAGGCTGCTCCCAGTGCGCAATTAACCAGGACAGAGAGCAGAGAAAGGCATGGCAACCAACAAGCCGGAAGGAACTTTGTCCGCCCAGCTGACACCTGTGCCACTTGCCAGTGACCAATTCCATTGCTCCAGGACTATGAAAAGGCAGAAGAACCTTGCTCAATCCAAAATCCCTCAAACACCAGAAAGAGGGCTTGGTGAGACTGAAATCACCAATCTTCCTGAAAAAGAATTCAAAATAAAAGTCATAAGCAT